GACCTGGAGGTCTCAATTATGCCATTGGTATTGTAGAGCGGAGCAGCAGATGTCTCGACAAGAGGGGCATGGACCGTGACCCTGCAGCACGCGACATGACAGCCCGCGTCCATTCAAAGTGTCCGGCAAACCGAGACGACCCACCGAGCAGAGCAACTGTCACGATTTCAGCCCGCCTTACTGAAGCATTTCATGCTTTGCGACCGATGTGTTTGCACAACTTGACACTCTTACTGGCCACAATACTCGAATGCTACTGCATTTCGTGCGATATATATTTTCTGAAGATATCGATCCATATCGTTTTTCACGCTTGGTAGGCCTGTACATCCGCATGTAAAGGGCGGGTTACAAAAGAAAATTCATCAAAAAGTAGCTGGGATGACATAAATGAGTTTCTAGAACTATTTTCCGTTATTTTCTGCATTCATCCTCTTCGTTCCCTAATTGTAATGCGCACCCAAAATTTCAAATGTTAAATTTGTCAAAAAAAAAAAATTCTGTTTAGTGCATCAGTGTTGCAACATTTGTTGAAGAGTTTCGCATTACAGTAAACAGGGGCTAGCCAAACGAAGTTTAGGGTTCTCAAGGCGAATTACTGTATTCTGGAATGTACCGTGTAGATGTTTCTGGAAGTTTTGGAAGAACTCTTCTACACTGAAGATGGAAGCTGCACGCTCTTCCGACGAGTTAGTAAACTTGTGCTAAATCACATTGTATCTCATCCCAGTAGACTACTGTCTACAATCAAGGGCTCTTCAATTAATAGATGAGTGGACCAACATAAGAGTGGTTAACATATAAATGGGGCCGAAGCCTATGATTCCAGACTTTTGTTACATCAGTAAGATCCCGCAGTGTAAAATCAGATCTAAAAGAGATCTGAGGTATTTCGGTTCGGGAATATTAAATGTTTAATGAACAAAATGAAGAATTATGACTCTTAATTCCTTTATGTCTACTTGCCAGCCAATGGAAAGTCGCGAGCCTCATTTGGCACGTAGACCATTGATAAACTGTACTCCAGTGAACTACGTATGATATGTAAGATTTGAGGCTTTCACGGCGGTGACTATGAAGAAAGCAGTCTTCTGGGATTTGGCACCGTGTATATGTGGTGTTAACCGACGTTTCGGAGGAACGTATCGCCTTCATTTTCAGGGTAGAAGAAAAAATATATAAGAAATCTGCAAGCGGAGAGACCGTGAGAACCGGGAAAACCAGTCTGCTTTTACCGACAGAGGGCAAATGCACTCTGTCGGTGTACAGATATCTTTAATAACTCGTGTTTCAGTGTAAAAAGGCTTCGGTTATCAATTTCTTCTTGTTTTGTTTCATATGTTTGTTCATTTTATTTTGCGTTGTCTTTAACAAATAGAATTTGTAATGAGGACAGAATCCATTTGGCTCTTGTGTGCGACGTGAAGGAAAATAGTGTGGGATGTCTTGACTGAATAAACGACTGTTAGATTCTAATGACCGACTATAGCCCACGAAATGACAGAGTGTACCATAAGATAAAAACGACACGATTGAATTAACATTTGCAAACCGCTGGTTTAGAACATGTTGTGCTCCACTATGTGAACGCTATTGTTGCTACTGATTTGCCGTAAGCCCATACTGAACAGCTCATTCAAACTTACAAAATATACGGATCGTCCTAATTCTGAGGTTAAGTTGTTTGTTTATACTTTTCTTATTATGTCTGGGATCTCGTAAAATCTAGACGCCTGATGGGTAGAACACGCCATAAACTGAGGTTTGTAGGGATCAGAGGTTTTACTGCATTTTAAGTGGAAAGCCACATGGAGCGACAGAGCAGAGATGATTAGGTTGGACCTTCATGAAATTTTAAGCATAAAGCGAGAGGAAAAGTGGCGAAGGATCACTGATGGAAGCGCCTTAATTGTTGTCTTAGCCGATTTCATGTAATTTAATCTGGACAGAAGAAATTGAAGCTGAATCACGAATGATTTTACAATTTTAACCCATTGGAACGTTAAGAGGTGGTGCCGTAGCTTAGGCGGTTAGTAGCCGGCCTCTCACCTTGGGGACCCGGGTTCAACCCGAGAGAAATCCATATGGGAGTGGTGTAAAATGACATTGGGGCAGGTATTCTTCCTAGTACCTCGGTTTTCTTACGCCAGTCATCATTCTGTCATTTTCTTTCTCTTGTATATCATCCGGACCTGACATAGTGGATCCATTTGCGGACCCAGAACAAAGGAATTCAATTTCAACCCCTCTAAAGATTAAGAAGGAATATTATCACACAGTAACGAAACTGTATCATATTTTCACTTGTGTGGTAGTGTTGCGTTTACGAGACAATTTCCTAGTTTTAATTGAAACCTCTATACTCGCACGGGTAATGCTTAAAGTTGTGCAGATAAGATACACAATTAAAGTATTCTGGGATTCTCAAAAATATCATCAAAATCCCCAAGGAATTCTGAAAGCGAATTATGTTTTTGTAGCACTAAAATTAATTCTACAGTATACTTAATATCATAAAAACCCACTAAAGCGAGAAAATGATACAAACAATAACCCAAGTAAGGCAAAAAAAAAAAGGTAACAGAAAGGTAAAGCTATGCCTTGTAACAGGCCGAGAAGTCCCGTAAGATTGTGAGACATCGAGGTTCCCACATTTTCTCTAGACCAGGGGTCTCCAAACTTTTCGAACCGCGGGCCACATTAGGTAATTCAGCACTTTCAACGGGCCGGATAAAATGAGAAATTAATAACTCTAGTTATATGAGTTTTATTGAAAGCACAGAATT